ATTCAGTTACAATGTCTCCATGGTTCGTAACATTTTGTCAACGAGTATATTTTAATTAATACGATTTATGTAAATTTACGCAGGAAAGTAATTTTAATTGGAACTTGCTGTATTGTAACTTTTTAATTGTAACTTGCTTTGACGTTAACATGGGACGATCGTTTGGAATATTCTTATTTTATAAGAGATTAGTCTGATGGATGGGCGACCGAATGGTAGTTTACCGCTCTGACAATGGCGTAGCGAGGGAGGTGCAAGGGGGTATATCATACACCGGGCGCCACTCGTAGAGGGCGCCCAAATGGTCTCCAAGACAAACTATATGTGTTTTTGGAGGGGGGAGGGGAGCACCAATAAAGTGTCGTGCCCCGGGCGCCAGTTATGTTCGCTACGCCACTGCGCTCTGAGGATCCGAAATCGAATCCGAACGGGCCGAAAAACTCAGAAATATTTGGGAAGTGATCCGTCGGGATGTGTTAGGTTCCGTTTCTTACCATCCGGCCGTTCCATTGTAGGCAAGCCGACTCCTTGTCAACAATATTTTCGTTTTTTTATTAAACGGATCGTGCTGTTGGCTCGATTACTTTGCTGCTTATCACTTAGGCGCTTGATGTTCCTTATTATAAAATATTTCGTATAAAAACATTTTGCATATATTTTATTATTAACCATTTCTAATACGAAAGTAACTTTTATTTTTCATAAAAGAAATATTTCGAATATGAAAGCGAATACAAATCATTAATAAACGTTAATACCAAGAAGAGAGTCAGAGAAATGAACAGCCTGTTTACATCAATTTTCTGATTTATAATAAGAACATTTTGTCAGAATTTTTATGGAATAAAATCAAATTTAAAAAATCTAGATAATATCTATATTTAAAAATGTTAAAGTTAATGATTATACAGCTGATAGCTTGGAAAATACGTAAAATATATTCAGCTTTTTCCATATTTAACAGAAATTAAATTAAATTTTTGGATAAGCATAATAAAAACTGATTTTTTTAAAATTTATTTTGAATATTTTAGTATTTTAATTAGTAAGTAGATTCAAAATACTTTTATCGAAAGTGTTCCAACGCTCTCTAATTGCCCATCTCCTCTAGAGCACTAGAATAAAGTCCACGTTTCTCTTTGGAGTCGCGATCTACCGATTGAGGAATATTACTGTAATAAGTTTATCAAACTTGAAAAACTGTGAAAAAAAAGTTTTATCAAATCAATATTGCTTTTTAGTTTCCTTTGTGAAGAAAAAAAAATGTAATAAAATGTTTAGTTCCTTTTCTTTCCTGAACAGTTATATAAAAGTTTTTCTTAGTACAGCATTTTAACGTTAAAAAAATATAGTACTGTAATCGCAAAAAGTCTATTTTTCCAAGTTATTACATAACTATTTTCTATATAAAATGCTTTTTAAGTTAAAAAAAAATATTTGATAACGCTTGTTAGTATTTAAAAAAGAATTTCATCCAGAAGTGACGTAATAATATTAATTTTATCAATTACAAATCGAATTGTATCAGAGATGGCGCCACTGTATGGTGACGATTACAACGAAGGCCACCATGTTGTCGCGATTGGTTGCCACTTCATACTTTTTATTAGAAAATCCAGTTTTTTAAAACTTTTTGGCATTCAATTTAATCTTTTCAATATTTAATAAAGTCGAATGCAGAAATAACAAGATTATTAAACATATTTTACTCGCTGAATGCGTGAATTTTTCAAAGGCTAACGCCCGAATAAATCACACCCGGAATGTAGTATTTCGAATAAGAGTACATTAACCAATCAGAGCAGTTAAAGACTTAAGTGAATTGTGAGTAATGGGATTACAAATTATAAAATTACAAATGGCTAAGAGCGCGATCGATAAGCAAAATTGCAAAATCTTAAGCTCTTATATTAGTAAAACTTGGCCACACTCTTACGGGATTACAATATCTGTAGCGATATAATTATTCGATTTGCGTTAGTGATGCTGAATTTAATTTATATTTAATTCATTTATTTACATTTTAATCAGTAAACATCGAAGCGGCATTGATCAATAAGTAGTTGAGCCAAAGTTTAACTTCCCAAACTCTGTTCTTTGCTATTTATCAAATTCGATTTATCACTGCATTTTGTCTTGAGTATCTTTTACTATTTTTGTAAAATATTTACAATTTTTTTACTAATTTAATTTGTCCAGAAAACTTATCTTAGCTTTTTTATTATTATTACAATCAATTTTTTAAATGTCTTTCTTTGCGAGTACTAAGAAGGCCTTTTTTCATATTTATATATTTCGATTTGATGGAACGCGACGTAACAAAGCGGATCCAGAATTGTTTTGATGAGGTGCGGAGAATAAAATGCGTTGGAAAATTCTTTACTACCTGCGGTACCCGGCTTTACGGAAGGATGCCACTGCGCCACGCAAACCTCCTAAATCCGCCCCTTCGTGCCGGCGATCTACCAACAGGATGCTGTCTCTCGGGGAGACTTTTAATAGGAAACTGGTTCCTATTTAAGCGTTAGACGAGTGAAAAAAAAAAAGTTCGGAAAACTCCACGTAGCAAGGTCGTTGATCGGCACGAACTAGTGTTTAGTAGTTTTATCCTCTCCGCCATTGAGGAGTTCGGACAGATCCACAATGAAGAACAAAACAAATCAACCAATGTAATTCTTCTAGTGATGTCATTCTGATTCGAATCCTTCAGAGTGATAGGTCAATGTCGATTGTCTCGGGCATTGTGTCAAATGATTTTTAATTATCCGGTAACGTTCCTACACACCTGCAAATGCAGGATTTCTCCATTAAAAAACAAATACGATAATGTTTAGATAAATGTTAAAAATATTTCAGTATTGATTACCACAGTTAAAAAACATTATTTCTCCTTAATTCGAAATAAAAAGTTAAATCTGGCAATCTCGCTACCTCTATCACCCAGAAATTCATGTCCATATTCAAGTTTTGCGGCAAAAGTGGGCCTGGAGGACCGAAGTATAGTACTGTAGTTTTCTTTATGTTAAAATCTCCATAGGGCAGAAACTGGAAGCACAGTACATGGATTTTGGAAATTTCGCTTAAATGAGTGATATATAAGTGAGTGGTCGTTGTAATTTATTCAATGATCCAAAAACTTACGGTTTAATTATCTTTATTTTGGTTGATTACATATGTACATAACTTTTCCGGCAGTTATAAGATTTAATTTTTAAAAATGACTTATATTAATTGATTAATNTTAAATGAGTGATATATAAGTGAGTGGTCGTTGTAATTTATTCAATGATCCAAAAACTTACGGTTTAATTATCTTTATTTTGGTTGATTACATATGTACATAACTTTTCCGGCAGTTATAAGATTTAATTTTTAAAAATGACTTATATTAATTGATTAATCATAATAAATAAAGTTACGTGTGGCGCCATCTGTTATGAGATTAAATTATAAAAAATATATTATTAATTATTATAAAATGGCAATGAGCTTGATTTTGAGGGCAGAGATGAGTTTTATATTAAAAAAATGTAAATGCTAATAACGAGTTAAATCTTCATTAAGTCCGATCTCTCTCGAGATATGACACGTGAATCCCTTCTATATCTCCACCCTTCGACCAACAAAATTTTAATAGCATCGATGTCCATTATAAACATGCTACAATGCCAAATTTCGTTTCTTAATCATTACCACGCATCCAAGGAGTTCTCCTGTTTTGGTTTTTACGGTTCAGAGATTGTCAAAACGTACAGATTTGCAAAAACACGGAGCGTCAAATTTGACACGATTCCAATACTTTTTCTTGTAACAATACAATACCTTTGCTGCTTATCACTTAGGCGCTTGATGTTCCTTATTATAAAATATTTCGTATAAAAACATTTTGCATATATTTTATTATTAACCATTTCTAATACGAAAGTANTAATCATTACCACGCATCCAAGGAGTTCTCCTGTTTTGGTTTTTACGGTTCAGATATTGTCAAAACGTACAGATTTGCAAAAACACGGAGCGTCAAATTTGACACGATTCCAATACTTTTTCTTGTAACAATACAATACATAACAGCCGGATCGTCAGAAGAATTACCAAACAAGGGAAAAGGAAAGGAAGAACGGCAAAGATGTAGTCTCAATTTTGGACCTAATTGACCAATTTATAAATACAGTATTGATTGTATAGCATGAACTATCATATGGACATATAGTTTAATCATCAAAACTTAGAAATGTTTTCTTGTTTCTTCTTCTATCCATCCGAATTCTATCTACTGTAGGCTAAGGGTAACGTACAGTACAGAATCTAAAATATAATATACCATAACTTTATTAACCGATTACATTACGGGTCATAATGTGGTCACAGGAGCGGCAATACTAAGCGATAAAATAAACGAAATAACGCAAGTGACTGGTACGGTCTTTGTGTACCGTGATTACTGTATATATTATGTTTAGAGATTAAATGTGTATATTTAGATCAAACTCTGTGATGGTCTGACCGATCGACCGCGCCACCGAAAGAACAAGCGACTCGCCCGACCGAGACCGTCGATAATAGGGGTTCGAATTGACCTCTTGGTCGAGCCCACTACAACAGTCTTTATTAATTAATATATCGATGGATAAAGTTGAAAAAGAAAACGAAGTAATTTTACAACCAACTATTTTCGTATTTAATATACTGTATACGGCATAGTTTAATAACAAGTAATAAACCAAAAGTAAAAAGTAAACAATCAACCCAAACGGTAAAAAAAACATTCTGGTATTTTCAGAAACTGATCGGACCTTTCGAAATTTTCTTAATCTGGTCCCAAATATAGAGAAAAAATATATTTTAAATATTTTTATTTTACACTATTTAATTAAATTATTATTAATTAATTTTTTTATTAAAATGAATTTGTAACGTAATTTTATAAAAAAAAAAAAAAAAAAATATTTACTCATAAAATACATCCGGCAACACTTATCGTTATTGGCGCAATCGCAGAATTATTTCTAGGTACTCGAGGAGAAGACGTTTCGTTACGAGAATTTCAGCTAATTTCGAGGGATTCCAAGAATTTAAAAATATTAGAAGGGTTACCAATAGAAGTTTTAGAAAAAGTTATAACCGTGCTAATTTTATGGTAAGGTTTGGATCAAATATTTTAATTGTGAGAAAAGTAACGAAAGAAATATCGAAAACGTAACCGATGTCCGCAGCCGCCATTTTGGCGTTTTTGTGATTTTCGGGAACAAAGCAGTTTATATTTTGCTTTCGCGCATTAATTTCGTACAAATTGTTGCTTTAAACTATTCTAAGTCAGATTTCGTGTGTTTCAGTGGACATTTAATAAGTTTTGCTTAAATAAAAAAGTAAATACAAATTATTATTATTATTATTATATATATATTTAATATAACGGTCGTTTAGTAATAAATAAAAGACAGTAATTATAATATAATGTTCGGCGTAACTACGGTTTAGTAAAAATTAAAGAGAAATGTTTACACTAAAATATTGATTTTGACACATTAAATGAATTCAGTGTAAATTCACAACGCATTAAAGTGACAATTTAAAAGCTGTTTTATTCGGAGAAAGGCGTTATGTTGTTATACAAAATGGCTAGAAGTCTGGTAGAAGTTAGGCAAGAATTGAACTCTTGGTTTTCCACCCCCCCAGAATTGTATTGTATGAGCAAAAAAGTCAAAGGAACCGTACCTGTATATGCCACCTTTTGACTCCCAAGGTCTGTTTTTACTGTGTGCGCCGGTATACTGTCTATTCTCCGCTCTGTGTCGAGCCTCGACGGATGTGGAGCTTATAGTCTCGTGCTTTGGTGCTTGCTGTCGTTTGCATTGGGGCCGGCCCCACTCCGACTAGAATTATATGATGGCGAGTACTCTGCGAACAGTCGAGTGGGCTGCTCGAAGTTGGCATAGTTGTCTGGGCTAAATAGTTAAACGTGATGGTTTTGGAAGTGGTTGTGCCGTCTGGAATTAGATTGATTTTGGAGACCATATATTGCATGGAGATACGGTTCTTTTGGCTTCTTTGCTTCTATGGGTGTGGTCTCTGGCACAAATAAGGTTTGGAGGTGTAATTGTATCTTTAGCAGTCTCCAATAGCTATTTTAGGTCTTGGGTTGTAATGTGGATAAAAACGAGTCGTGATCTTGAGCCTGTGCTTTGAGAAGGTTGCGTCCTGTCTGATTCGTTATCGACCGAGCTTGTCGTTAACGTATTTTGTACCCGAATAATCTAGGACACAATGTTGTGCAGAGAGACTTTGTGGCCACTATAATTTGCATTTATGTAAATCTAAATCATTAACACTAGAAAAAATAATCATATGTACTGTATAATTTAAATACATATATAAAATATTGCACTGCTGTCATTGCTTGCTAATTTATATATTTTGAACATTATATACATATTATAAGTATGAGTTATTTCTTCTCCTCCAACATAAATTCGTTACCCCAGTATCCTATAAGAACCCACACAAAAGCTTACTGTGTTCAGAATTTTTAATGTACCTGTTGTTTAGAGGCATACCTATACGATACCGCCATGGATTTTTTAAAAGTCTTTCCTCCCTGTGAGCACTAAATTGACTTATTTTTAGCAAGTTCATTGTGGGTTCGACCAGGCCCACAATTAAGCGGCGGGCCCGTGAGTGACGGGGTTGACATATCCAGGCGGAACTCATTCCGAAAAATTCTTGGGATTTTCAGATCCGTCCGGATTCTATTCCGGCTGTCCGAGAGCGGTAGGCTGCCAGCTTAACTGCTCGACCATCCGGCCGTCAGTCATGGACATTACGCACAGCTGACGGAGTTTCAGAAAGGTAGCATCAGCGGGATCAGGAAAGCAGGATGGTCGTTTCGCCAAATTGCCTGTCATCTGGCTCATTCTGGCCTGACTGTGAAGATAGTGTTGGGGCAGTGGATGCCTCAGGACACACGTACAGTACATGGCAGTGGCTCTGGACACTTCCACAGACCACTAGCAGAGAATTATCTGATCGCCAGTGCAATGGCTGCAACAGAATCTTTCTCCACCATCCTAAGACAGCTGGAAATTATAAAACTCGTATCTTCTCATACAATTAGCAGACAATTAGAAGAGAAAAAGTTGCGTATACGACAACCGTTGCGCCTCTTTCCGTAAGCATTCTATCGTCGTAGGCTTCATTTGCGGAAGTGCCGTAAAGGACAATCATGGATTGCTGTGAGGGTCAGTAAATCTTGTGCTGCAAACAACAATCTTCCAACAAGACAATGCTCGGATGCACACAGCTAGCGTTTCCATCACGTTGGCACAATTTCCACACTTGCTTCGGCCTGTCTGATATTCAGGGACGCCAACTTCGGTCATCTACGAGTGTGAGGGATCTATTGTGGAGTGGCAGTTGTAAAACTATCTCAGGATAGCATATTGTGCCTGTATGCCTACAAATTCCTTTGTGCAGTCTCATATATTCATGCAAGAAGAAATATTACAAGCTATAAAAGTTCTCTTTCAATTGTATCGTTGTTACTCAAGAAATTGTCCTTTTGTAATGATATTACAATTATTTATTACAGGTTCGCACTAATAAAATTTTATTCAGTTACAACGTCTCCATGGTGCGTAACATTTTGTCAACGAGTATATTTTAATTAATACGATTTATGTAAATTTACGCAGAAAGTAATTTTTAATTGGAACTTGCTGTATTGTAACTTTTTAATTGTAACTTGCTTTGACGTTAACATGGGACGATCGTTTGGAATATTCTTATTTTATAAGAGATTAGTCTGATGGATGGGCGACCGAATGGTAGTTTACCGCTCTGACAATGGCGTAGCGAGGNTATATATATATATATATATATATATAAGTAATGTAATATAGATAATTATAATTTTCAATACAGGGAATTGGTAACGACTCTGGGTTTTGTCCTAATTTTTATACCAAAACTAAAATTTTAATTAAGGATCTTAACTTTTTTTTGTGAAAATGTATGGATAAAATAAAATTGGCTCCTTGATTGGAAGTTTTGGTAATTAAGATGATTATAATTTTTTTACTCTTGAACAAACTGATTCATTCTTTAAATCAGAATGGTTTATTATAATATAATTTATGACTATTATTGCAATTTCTCTTCTGCTTTGGATAGTTTTGTTCATTAGAAACGCCTGTAAACATCACATTTATATACTCTCTAAACCTAGAATCTTAAACTTGAGCATTGCTTATACTTTTATCTATTAGGGTTAAGTGGGGTAAATGTAAATGTTGGCATTGATTTTGTGCTATTTACAATTTAAGAAAGGGCTGGTTATTTTTTTCAGCAACTTGTACTATTTATACTAATAATGATCACATTATATATATATCTGCAGTTTTTCCTATTAGTCTGTACTAGATTATGGAAAAAAAATTTTAAAAATCCACAATTACATATACTCGTTTCAAATGGAATAAATGAAAATACTGTGAAAGATAATTGAAATCTCCCAGTTTTTATGCTTAAGACTTGTTTGTGTGGCAAGAGAAATTGTAAATGAAAATGAATCTTTGAGATGTGAAATTAACAAAATTAGACAATTTCATTTTGTAAAACAGATAAGAAACTTCTCTTCTCAATCTGCATTGATACATGAATATAACCTCCTTTAATCTATATTGGATAACACAGTCTCATTTCTTATCAAGACATTTTCAGGTTCAGTGACCAAGGGATTATAATGTAAAGCTATTCAGTTAATATGTAATACAAAATGTATTTTGGTCTCAGAATGCAAGTGTCATGCTATTTATTTGTTGGTAAATATGAAGATAATATGTACTGTAATTTTTAAGATACTGACTTTGAACTGGGCAAAGACTGAACTTGATTTTGACATCATTGTGGTGCTTATTGTCTGCTGACCTTGCATGTGATTCATAAGCTTCTTCACTTTGGAGAAAGACTAAGCAAGAGTGCTGTTGGAAGTTCCTTTAAAGTGCTGGTCTTTGTGAGTGATTGGAAATGGCAAAATGCAAATACACAGACTTTTCCCTAGAGGGAAACTTAAATTGAGAAGGAAGAAAAGCTAAAAAGGAATATAACGAGAGTTTGATGTGCCACAAAATACTATTTCAGTGATCTACAGCAGACGGGAGAAGATCCAAGAAGCAAGAGAAAATACATCCTGAATAAGAATAGACAACTTCTTCACTCTGATTTTAGAAACTGTCCAAATTGATGATGAGTTGGCAATTAGCAAAATTAGCCAGATTTTATTAATATTAAAAGATAAAATGAAATGGCAATAGATGATGATATAGAAGCAGATTACGGCTTACCGTCAAAAGCATATGCTGAGAATGCACAGACCATGCTGGAAAATGTTAATATATTCTGACCATTTGCTAGAACTTTCTACTCATTTTGACAAGTTAAATGATCTTGTAAAGAACGTATGTATGAGATGAAAATAATGCAAATGTATATTAAATGACTTTAAAACAGCTTGCATTAAAATACTACACCTTTATTACTAGAACTATCCACCCTAATTGTTTTTGTTAACATTTTTGGCAGTGTCACACCATCTTGAATAAAGCATAGCTGTGATTTATGTTACTTATTGCTTATTTGAGTCTTGGAATGGTTTGGGAATGCAATTAAACTTGTCATTATTTGCTGAGTGGCAGAAACATCATGTTTTGATTGAACTTGGTTAATATGAACCTCATTATTACATAGCCTGCAGTTTTTAGTCCTTCAAATTTCATAATACAGTTTACTGTTTATCAGAATATGGTGAAAAGAAATAATTTGATGCACGACTTTCATTTTTAGCCGATTAAGAAAGATTTAGGGGTTCTGGGTATAAGTTTGTGGAACTAAGGGGGCAGTGGCTTGAAAAGTTTGGGAATCACTGGTCTAGTTCAACTGGCAACATTAATTTTAATCCTTAGTTATGGTTTTATTTTGACATTATTACTGTGCAGTTTATTTCTTAAGTTTACAAGAAAAAATGGAGAAAAATGAAAGCAGTTTTCTTTGAAAGAGAGTAATAAAACATTATATAACATGCAAAAAGATGTGCCTGGCAGCCTACAGGAATGCTGGGTCACAGTACTGGATTTTATCAAAAAA